ATAATAATAATAATAATAATAATAATAATATGTTACATCGAATAGGAGACGAAAAAAACTTGAACAAAAGTCACGCGACATTTTCAAGACGACCAACATCATCAGCTGCAACGTTGTGCGTCTTATAGGCGCACAAAATATATCGTAAAAATGTATTTAAACAGAAAACAGGAAAAAATCATTTTCAAAAGGTCTACGTCATTGCAAAAGGACAACAGAAATAAAATAACTTTATTACTCTAAGACGATTACAGTTAATGAACTCAAACTTATACCTATACCGTCGCATACATATATTTATAATAATATATATTTGTAGGCGCAAACCGCCTACAATCATTTCGAGAGGGCGAAGGAGGCRAAAAATGAATACTTCGAAAGTCGACAAATTTCAGAAATTGTACATTTTAGGTTCCTGAGTCCTCCGCCCCCTAATTACGACAACATATGTACCTGCAGTACATGTATGTCTATMTATATATATATATTATTATAAATTATCGTTGGACGACGGTGTGGATGRGTAAGTCATCAGTCTTGGGGAATAAATAAAATAATAATAATGATAAACGTAATATAATATGGCTGTCGCGCGTACCTATATATTATAAGATGAMGAGAAGAAGAGTAAAAAAGAAAACAGCAACAACACGAATTGTTCGAGTAAAAACAATAATTATAATATCAATGAACKTAATAAAACTTATAATAATATTATATTATCATACCTATACAATAGCATATTTATATAGCCCGGGGCATAACTGCTTTTATTGAACTATTATTAAAAAAAAAATGTTACATTATATTATTATTATTGTTATGCGTATGACTATGAGTAAAATTTTTTTCATATATTATGTTAATTATTATTATTGTAAATATAATATTATCCTAGCACACTCGAAAAACTGTTCAACTATTTTAAAAATTAAGAAATAATAATAATTATTGTAAAACATAATAAATCATTATAAAACAAAAGACTAGTACATAGTTTACAGATTCTTTTCGTGCACATCCGAACGAAAAAAACCATCGAAACTTAAACATATAGTTAACTCGTGAAAAAC